ACTTTTTCACGGTTATCTGGTTCTGTATCTTCATTTACGATTAACGTATATATATATAAACTCATACTTTATTCTTCATAACATATAAATAGAAAGATATTGTTACGACAGCGGAAGTCACGTGACGCTGGTAATACGTAATGAGTATTTCTAACGTTCCTGAAGGCTCGAGCGTTTCCTAGACGCACGCTCTTATTATATATAAGCCGGCAAATAAAGTGATGGCAAGGAGATAATTGAATAGCAGACAGGGAAATAGAAACAGACAATCGAGTCAAGCCGAAAGTAAAGTGCGTGAATCGTTGAGAATTCTAGCGTGTGGTCAAGTTAAAATGACTGTGAAAAATTAAGTGTATTACAAAGTTGTATTGAGAAATAATAAATTAGTTTTATTTAAGAAAGGACTTATATCGCTGAAGTTTTTGGAAAGAATTTCTACGGAAAATTAACAAACGAACACAGAGACGTAACAAATTGGTGTCAGAAGCGAGACAGAAAAAAAAAGATGAAAACGAGAGGTGGCAAATCAAACTACAGCTTAGCAGATTTGATGGCAGCAATACAAGAACAGCAAAAGAAACAAGAAGAGCGAGAAAAAACAAGAAGAGAGATTACAGCAGTTGTTGGAGGAAAAAGAAAAGAAACAAGAAGAGAGACAACAGCAGTGGCAAGAAAACCTGCAACACTGGTAGCTCGAACAGCAAAATAAACAAGAGAGACTACAGTAGTAGTTGGAGGAGAAAGAAAATAAACCAGAAGAGAGATTACAGCAGTGGCAACTGAAACAAGAAAGGAAACAGGAAGAAAGTCTCCAACAGTTGTAGGAAAGTCAGCAGCAACTACAGGAAAGTAAACAACAGTGGCAAGAAGTACAAATGGTAAACATTAGTAAATTTCAAAGTGAATTAAATACAGTAAAGAGTGATTTAATGTCTTTTACACAAAAAAAGATATACTAGCCATCGACCTAATCAGCCTCAGACAATGGCAAGCCCCTTCCAGACCCCGCAGCTAAACCCTAATGCAGACATCTTCATTCCTGTCAGAAGTTACATTACAGACAAGAATATCAGCAATCGGGGTGATCTAGCACGAAGGAAGCCACAGGAAATCGATGGGAAGGCACCCTGGGAAGCATATAGAGCACAACTTGAG